CTGTCTCTGTTTTGACTCAGCTGTGTAAGGTTTGGCATCTGCAACTACAACAATGTGCATAATTGGATTCAAGTATAAAATGAACACATAAAGATCAACATCTACATCTTCAAAATATACAAACAAAAACATGAGCTCAAAAGTCATGGGCCCAGAAATTCAGCCTTTAAAATAGAAAATAGAGAAGAAAGAGCTAAACATATCCATGTGGGATTATGCATGGACTTTAGGCTGCAGGATTTTCATTATAGGTGCAGGCCTATATGTATGTGCGTGTCTGAAATGTTGGAAGTCTCACTTCCAAAGACTTTAACCTAGCTGCTTTTTCTTCAGTTATTTTAAAGGTCCCTTTTTCAACTTTATATTGTAGGTCTCAGATATATACAAAACATGTCTCAGAAGTGCTTGGCTCTAAATACCAAACGAATAGTGCCTTTTAGCATGCCATAAACCCCTCTGTTTCAGGCCTGTTTCAAAAGTGATGATTCTGTGTCTGTAGCTTTAAATGCAAATGAGCAATTGCTGGCCACGCCCCTCTGCAGAGTGTCTGATTAAAAAGAAACACTATAGAGTGCCACAGTGACGCGTCCTAAAACCCGGAAGTAAGTTAGCATTTTACCACTTCCGGTTCCTTCGGCAAAAAAGCAATGCAATTTCTCCATAGGATTTTGGAAAATAGCTCGAAATAAGGTCTGTGGTTGACACACATTTAAGAGACTAAGTACTGCAAAGTACGCGGTGTGAACGCGGCTAATGGTTTTCTAAGGGGGGATTCAGGTGATAAGGTGGGCGGGTGTTACCTTGGTTGGTTATTGGCTAATGGTTGCACAAAGTGGCCAAAATCTGATCAGCTCATTTTCAAACAGGTTTTTATGTGAATGTCACGACAAAAAGAGAGAGAATATTTTTTCCTGAAACTTTCATAATCTCTTTACACAGAGGTGACACATATTAATGTATAAAGTCTTGAAAAAGTGGATGTTGCATAATAGGTCCCCTTTAATTTTGAGTTTTCATGTAAGGATGAAAGATTGTAGAGTAACTCTGCCGTCCTACTCAAGGCCATGAGGAAGTAGAGTCAGTCACTTCAGTGGTTCGTTGGGGGGAGTTGTAGAGAAGCCATCTAATGGATTGTTTTTTTTTAACTTGCCAACAACACACCACACTAATGCTCATATACAGTATATACCACTCAATATTCTTTACATAGTGTCAGTCCATGGATAGCATCAACTACTAAATCTGTACACATAAAAAAGGATTTTGATCCTCATCAAAGCATCAAATATTTATTTGACATGACTTTAACCCCTGAGCCTGTTTTTCAGGTCTCAGGCTCGAAAATGACATTCCCAGANGGGAAGATGAAGCAGCAGAGACTAACTGTATCTGCACAATCGTCACATTAGGCGCTTTCACACCGCAGTACTTTTCCCACAAAGGTTCATGAGAACTTAGTTAATCAGAACTCTTTAGTTCTGATGAACTAAGTACAGATCACGTTCACACCGGAATAAGTCCCTGGGGGTGGATTAGGCAAATGAAGCCGCTGACGTCACTTCTTCTTCTTCTGCTTTGGGTTTACTGGCAGGCCGTATACTGCCACCCGAAGTCCCCGGCCGGAAGTCCCCGGAGTTGGGGACTGGCTTCAGTAGAAGCTGCTGGGACTCCCAGCAGCTTCTACTGAAGCTTTCCGAGTAAATCGCCAGAACGCCGACACCTCCTCATCTCCACCGCTCCCATGTTTTATTTTGTGTTGCCATAAGTTAGTCTCTCTGCGTCTGTGCGCTGGGCTAATGCTAATAATGCTAATAATGCAAGGATAATAAAATGGCGGCTTCACAAAACTTTTATGGAGTTTTACGAGGCGTGGTTTGCAATCCGCCCAGCCAAACAGAAATCTATCTCTCTCTCACAAGATGCACTTGTGCCACACACACACAGATGCTCCTCCGTGACGATGACCGCTTGCGTAAAAAATAAATAATAAACACATTTAAAAAGTGGGGGGGACACAAACGGGATTTTGAAAAGTGGGGGGGACATGTCCCCCCTGTCCCCAGTGGAAATTACGCCCGTGTGTGTGTGTGCTCGGGCTGGTTTTGGGCTGGGTTTTGCTGTGTCTCGCTGTCTCGCCGACCCCACGCAGCAACCAGGAAACCACACCAGTAAGCCAGCTCACACTGTCCGCTCCTCGCAGCAGCGAGCCTCGCAACATCCCGCCAACACGGCACCCAGACCCCACGCAGCATTCTCATCTGTTTGTCATTACTGGTGTCATTTTCTGGTTGCTAACGCCATTGTAACACATAATCACTGATGTTCCGCTGTAACGGTGGTGGACTCATCAGAACAGAGTGGGCGAGCTGGCCAATCAGAGCACACTGGGCTCACAGGGAGGGGAGGGGGGGCAGGAGCTCCAACAAGCCGTTTAGGACAGAGAGTTAATACACATACTATACAGAGATGCTGTATGAGAAACCAATGTGAGTTTGGAAAATTGCACAATGTAAATCTATTCTAGTAGACCTCAACAATGGAATTATGATCAGTAGAAATGGCCATATCATGGGACCTTTAAACTAAAAATACAGTGTTTATGTAGTTTAAAAGCTATGCTTGACCTATCTTAATTCCATGAAATGTTTGATATTGCTGTAATTTTTTTTTCTTTAAATTATGAATACATACAGTTTGTTTGTCGGACGGCAGTAGTCTTTGGCTCCCTCCTCTGGTGGAAAGACACTGACTGAAATGACGTTGACCTGAGAAGCAGTATCAGAAAATACTCATAACAAAGGAAATGTATCTCAAATTGCTGCATGTTTCATATGGAGATGAATGCAAATGAAAAAAAACATACTGTAAGGCAGCATGACAGTACAAGGGTACTGTACATCAATTCAGTCAATAACTAAACTATGCTAATGAGAAACTGAGAAACAATCACAAAAACATTCTATACAAAACGTAAGTCTGGAACACTTATTCCGAAACACTACTTTGTTTGTAGCTTTTGTTAAATGTTTTCTGAATGTTAGACACTTATTCAAATGACACAGCCGAGAATTGTTTGATTATGGTCAGTTTTTGTCGTTTCTTTTTCCAAGAATTTTGAAACCCAAGAACTTCACAATCATCTCTTAGGAAATCTGTATTCACATCTTATCTTCATTAAGAATTATTGTTATTATTCAAATAAACCACTGTCCAATATGTTATATGACAGGTTGAAAAGATGAGAAGAAGGGGTGTGTGCACACAGTGATGTCAGATGTCTGCTGATGGAAAATAAGTCCTGACCTAGGACCTTGAGTCTAAACAAACTACATTTCTAAGACTGAATGATTTCAGGTGATGTGACGGAGGCCTGAGGGGAGTGTTTACAGCTGTGTACGAGCGGCTCACACACTCTCTTCATTATCTGTAAAGAAAATAACCGACAGAGGAGTCGTGCTGCTCGCTGATCTCTCCCCAGGTGAAGGCAGGATGGTCTGTGGCATTATAAGCTTTTAACCGCTGCTTCAGCTCCTCTGGCAGAGTTGAATGGCTCGGTGAAAAAAATGTGTCATGAGGATGAGTCAGCCCACAGCGACTGTCTCTTAGTATTTGTGCAAACCAAGGCCCCAATGATTCATGGGCAAAATCACGACAGTTCCATTTAAGAGACAGAACCTTGAAAACTCTGCGTTTATTTTGGGATTAGACAGTGTTCAGGTTAAAAATAGGCTAAATACTTTGACGTTACCCTTCTTGCCAGAGTGCATGAGGTACAAAAAGAGTACAATTTCTAATAAAAAATGCAACATCAATGAGGAAATGTACAACGTTGTTGAAATTATGCAGGCGGAAGCAATAAAAGAAATAACCAATGCCGCTGCTGACAGCCTAATATTTTGTTCCTCTTTGAAATGCACTTAGAGCAGCCATTACTTTGAATATGGTGATGCAGGGACACTAGCCGCCAGCTTAAATCAAACTCAGAGCCCAGGTAATATAATAGCTGTGTCAGATTACATGATGGCCGGCACGTACGCAGCCCCAAATCCTCAGGGCTCAGGTGGCCTCACATAGACATCAACTGTCCCATTTTCATATTAATCTGCTTTTATGAAGTTTATGTTGCATCTATTCACTGGAGAAATGGTACACAACAAACATAAACACTCAAACATCACACCGGAATATCCAATTTCAGATCTGCACAACTAATGGAGCACGGCTAATAGGTTTACTTGTTTTCAGTTTTTCTTGATTTATGAGAACGACAAACCGTATGATGACAATTGTTCACCATAAATTAAACAAATTCAATCTTACAACAGAATGCAGTTCAGACTACAATTAAACATAATAAATGAGGACTAATTTCAAATGTGGCCCACACATCATCTGTCATTAACAAAGAGGTAGCGCTTATTATTATCAGCTGATGTTCAATAAGCACTTACACAATAGGCGACTGCATATATGAAAAAAAAAAACATTAGCCCAAAAAAATTGCAACAAAAGGTTTAACTGTTTTGTGTAGTATAAGGTGTCCCAAATAAATGATGAAGGAGTTAGGGTATTTTAAGGAATTTTCGGCCATCTTGAACGCCATCTTGAAAATTACACATTTCTAGTCATCAGATTTCTTTGGACTTTTAGTATGTTATTAAGTACACCTGATACTACAATAATCCAATTGAAAAACCTTTTGTTGCAATTGTGTTGGGGTCAAGCCATATTTGCAGCTGACTACAAAGCAAGATAAACATGTAGCAGCACACACTGTCGAGGTAAATACTTCTACATTAGGTGAAAACACTGTCTATATGTGATCAGAATGCCCCTGTGTGAAGCAGACTTTGCATTGAAGTGCAGTTGAGCCCTCAGCCCTGTTTTCCCGCTCAAAGATACAATGGAACGAACATCTCTCAACAAGGTTTCGCTCAACTCCTGAAGCGTGCAATCTCTGAAGTCAATCAAACCTGTTAAAATCACTGCTCATGACCCCCTCAGACCCCAGTCAGGCTCTCATTCAGGGTGGAGATGTGGTCGATCACGCTGAGCTCCCTCTGGCCGCGGCGGGCTTGTATTTGCCGCTGGTGAAGCAGGAACAGGCGTTTGGCCGCGGCCCGGTACTTCCGGGACATGAGGTTGTAGACGACGGGGTTGATGGAGGCGCTGAGGTAGCACAGCACCATGGAGGCCATGTTGAAGTTCTGGCTCAACATGGCCGTCTCGTAGTCGTCCACCTGGGCAAACAGGTTCCTGCCAATGTGATAGGGCAGCCAGCAGATGATGAAGGCCAGCACCACCACCACTGAGGGGGAATACAGTTAGGAGAGGGAAATTAGTTTAAAGGAATAGTTTGACTTTTTGTTAAAAACGCTAAGATGAACAGCTATTCTTGCTTTGTCAGAAGTTAAAATAAAAATAAGAAACAGAATATAAAGTTTGAATTGACAATACAAAAATGAAATTCAAGCAAATACAATACCACATGTTTTCTTATCGCCCATAAAGCCAAATGTAGAGCTTTAAATGTGATAGGATAAATACACACTAATCTTACATGAGGAATAAACAATATTATAGCATCTCTCACAGATTATAATGTATTCTGTTTTTTTTAATAATAATAAGTTAATGAAAAAATGTGTCTCGATCTTTGAGCACAGTATATGATTTATGTTCTATGGTCACCCTTTCATTTTATTAATGACCAGTGGCGATAAACATCAAAGGAACTTATCTTTAAACCCACACACACACACACACACACACACACACACACACACACACACACACACACACACACACACACACACACACACACACACACTCCCTCGCTCCCTTAAGTGATGCTCTCCTGCGATTGGCCCTGGCAACAATGAAGTCATATTTTCACAACAAAGGCAAGTGAGCAAGCTAATTAGATCATAAGCGCAGCTGACATTTTTTCCAGAAAAGAACTTAAATGTATTTAGAATTTCAAAGATAGAAATGTCAGCACAGGGTGAAGTAATCCCTGACTCACTGGTATTGTTTTAGAAGTCCCTGCAAATAAAATGGCCATCAATTTGTCTAATGGAGCCAGTCATATCTGGAAGGATGATAAAAGTGCGTTAAATAATTAAAAGAGAGGTTTGTCTGGCCTACACAAGACTAATTATTTGTGAATAAACATAATCCATTAATCAAAGACCTACATCATGGACAGAGTGAACAAATGATCATTGAGTGACTCCTGGGATATGTGACGCCAGCGTAATACAAAAGGAGCCCAGGAGTATGGGAGCAATTACATTTCCATTATGGTTGATTTATGAAGACCTCTGATGACAATCCAATTTGGGATTCAACAAATGTGGATACAAATGGCAGCAAGTAGGACAACATGGGCTCTGTGCAGCGTGTGCTCAGCTAATGAACTGCCTTTATATCCTAATGGATACATCATGATTCAATATTTGGTTAATTCAGATTGGACTGGCCATGGTACTTTACTATCAAACAGGGTTTCCTGCACAATAAGCCAGAGCTGTGTATTACGCCAATCAGCATGTGCAGAGCATGTATAGCCTCAGACAAAACAGAATTATTATCAAGCTTGCAATTCTCAAACCTGCCGGATAAAAGCAACACAATTCCCTGTGAAAACAATAAAAAAAAAGCTGGAATTAGGTTTAATTTAGTAAAAATCAATATATATTATAACTAGCTTCATTTGCTAAAGCAAACACAATAGAGGCGGTGCAGTAAACAAGATATTCTTGATTCTCCGTCCGCCAATTATATTGCAACAGCAACAATGAAAGTTAGATTGATTGTATAAAAGAGATGGATTTGTGCTTTAGGCTTTTGCTACAAATAACGTTCCTGATAATGAAATTCAGAGAAAGGTTTTTGAAAGTATAGGAAAGAAGTATAAACCCACCGCTCCTCCTACTAGGATGGGTTAAATGCAGAGGTCAAATGTCACTGTGTGTGCTGTGTGCATGTATGTGTGACCATTAATTAAAGAGGGTTTCATCCTCCAATTCTATCTATCTATCTGCACTCACCCAGGATCTTGACTGTTTGCCTGTGAGACCGCTCTCGGGCCAAAGCGCAGGGGCCTTGCAGGTCCATTTGGCTTTTCCACAACTTGCATCCGATGGAGCCATAGAGGAAGATGAGGCAGAGCATGGGGCAGAAAAAGTAGGTGGTGGACACCCAGAGCATGATGTGCAGCTGCCCAGAACTGATGGCATAGTTGCTGTGCTTGCACTGCCCTGTGTTGTAGTCCGGGTGTGTGTCGTTGTCATACTCCACCCCAACGAGGAAGAGCGTTGGAGCGGCGGACACCAGGGCAAAGACCCACAGGGCGAAGATGATGTACTGGACCCTGCGTCGGGACACCTTGCTCCTGAGGGGGAAACTGATGGCCAGGTAGCGCTCGATGCTCAGGGCCGTGATGTGCAGGATGGTGGCCGAGGTGCAGCCTTCGAAGATGTAGTGATAGAAGCGGCACACCACCTCCCCGAAAAGCCAGGGCACGTACTTCCACAGACGGTAAAGGTCAAAGGGCAGGCAGAGGAAGATGATGAGGTCGGACACCGCCATGCTGGACAGGTAGAGGTTGGTGGTTGTCTTCATGTCCTTGAAGTGCTGGATGATGAGGATGGTCATTGTGTTGCCGGTAACCCCGATGATGAAGATGAGGATGCAGATGACGGTGACAGGGATGAGGGTGGAGGTGGGGAAGAGGGAGCCCTCGTAGTGATGGTCGTCTATGTTCAACTGGTCCATGGCCTCTGCTCCCCCCGCATTAAGGTCCACCTGGGGTCTGGTCCAGGGCATGCCCACTGTCACTGAGTGTTGGCACAGCAAAGGGGGAATCAAGACTTAAACAAGGAGAGAGAAATGAAACAATTAAAGGACTAAACTGGGGTTTCTTTTAAACTTCACTATATTTAGACATTTCTCCTGTCAGGGTTTATCGTTTTTTGTAGTTTTGTATTAATTTCACCTGGATTCATCTTCTTATTTATAGAACATGCATTTTCAAGCAGTTGGACTACCTACGTTGTAAATGTATTATCTTTTCAATTTACACACTACATCTATTGCGTGTCTGTCCGTCCTGGGAGAGGGATCTGTTGCTCTCCCTGAGGTTTCTTAAATGTTTCCCCCATTAACTGTGGGGTTTCTTTGCAAGTGTTTCCTTGTCTGATGTTGGGGTCCAAGAATAGAAGGTGTATTCTGTACAAACTGTAAAGTCCACTGAGACAAATGTAAAATGTGTGATATTGGGCTATATAAATAAATTTTTATTGATTGAGACCAATGATCATAAGGTCTGCCTTCTTTTCATTTTGATAGAATTGATCATTTAAACGTGAATTTAAATAATCGCACCGCATTTCCTTCTAGCAAAAGTGCTGACTACAGAACTCAAGTGCTAGAACTTTTGAATGGAAACTGGTAGATGGCTTTTTTCTTTAAAATAATGTTAAATACAACAACAATATAAAGTAAAAGCAGGTTGTAGTAGAATGAATAAAACATGCATTTGATGCTCCTTTAACTTTTATACCTAAAAGTAGAAACAACATCCTTGTGTGGAATAAATAATGGCGGTTGACTTTACCTGTGAAACTCAGCTGGATCTCCTAAAAACGTTTTCTTGGTCTCTGTTGCGTTGCTGTGTGTCGATGGCGAGCGGCAGCAGGGTCTCATGAAGTGGCAGAGCCGGTTCCTGGCGCTCAGTGACCAGGAGAGCTCTGCTGCGAGATGAATAAGGGAGCACCCCCTCCACACCACCACCCTGAGGTGTGTGTGTGTGTGTGTGTGTGTGTGTGTGTGTGTGTGTGTGTCTAACTAATCAAATGATGATGAGACGGATGATGGTAAAAGGCATATGGTGGAGGGAATACGATTGGAGGGACCCCCTTCCATCACTGCTGCTCCTCTGGGAGAATACATATAGATTAAGTACCATACTAATTTGAATTGAGTGTAAATACATGAGAAAAACACATATGAGGGATGTAGGTTTATTAATTGATGCATCAATCACTGAAAGCCCAGCGTGTTTGCTGAGCTGTCTGGGAGAAGTCACTGAAAAATGAGTCCTGTGTTTGCCTAATTGTCCACTTGCCCCATCCGTCACTCTACTTAGCTTCATCACTCCACACTCCCAACGGCACTTCTCGTCTTCGTCACTCCCACCTTACCTACCAGGCTTGTTATAATAAACTCAGTTTCATCTATGCTGGTTTAACAGGAATGTCATCTTTAAAGAATGTCCATAAAGTTTAGTTGGTGGTGAGAGCGAGTCTGAAAAGGTCAAAAGTTGTGAGAGTTCTTCCACCTGGTTTTCTGTTTAAGAATAGAAGATTTAATTCAGTATGACCTCCGGTAACACTGTTCTCCACTTCATATCCAACTAATCCACAAATTCTGAGGTTTTCAGTCTGATTTGGATGAAGAGAAAGTGTCGCAAGCCCTGCAGATTAATATGAGAAGAATCATTTATGACTGTTTGTACATTTTCTTCAAATAATTGCATTTCCTATCTAGTGCTGCAGGCTGTGAACATACCACTTTCAGATTTTCTCTCCCTGATTTACAGGTTTTCCGGCTGTGTCCAAAGAAGCATTAGTCACCAAAGCCTGGAGGGCCGTGCTCTGTTGGTTCAGAGCCACCATATCCATTAGGTCTAAATGAACCTTTGTAAGCAGAGTCACACTGACACCGGCTGTATCTGTGTGTTTACACTGAGCTGATCCCCAGCCGGATGCACCGCTCGGACCTGAGGGGCAGCAGGAATGTCCCCCCCTCTTTCAGTGTTTACTCCTGTCAAAGAAACACGACAGGGAAAGCTTGTTTGTCCCCTTTTTAAGAAATGGGTGACCAGTGTGTCTCTCAACAAGAACCAATGATGTACACAGAAGAGTGAACGGAGTATGCTTACTTAACATTAACCATGGCTCTCCTGCTCACAGTTAACAGGAACTCTTGCATCTCCAAAGGCTTTCATTCAACAGTTTCTCAAATACTGTCAGTCCATTATGTGGCACTCATCTGATTCCTGTTGCTAAAGGTTGATTGATTAAACTAAATCATGGTCAATAGGGATAAACTTGTATTTCCCACAGCTCTATTTCTTGGTAGGAATTTAAGTTTTGAACTACTGGTCAAACGTGACCAGCAATGACAGATTAGGACTACTGGGAAGGTATAGTTTACTTGCACCATGGCCTATTGTTCTCTCAAGCATTTTCAGATGATTTGACCCATTTGAAAACACTTGATAGAAAAGGAAATTATGAAGTAGCATTTTTGCTGATGATCAGTCTTTCCAGGCTTTAGTAGGAAAATGCTCTCAGCTAGATGTCATTTGAACATAAATGTATGATGATTTGAAAAACAACAAGGCTGAAACTCAGCATAAACCATTGTTTTCAATGTCCATGCAGCATGGCCAGTTACCAACTGAGATGCTGTGGTCACTTTTCAATTTACAATTTTGTTTCTAGTCAGTTTGTTCCATGGCTAATTGTTGTTCTGTCTGACCGAAAGCGCAAAACCAAAGAAATATTCTACTTATAGTGACGGGAAAAAATGAAATAATCCTCACGTTGGAACCAGTGAATGTGTAGGGTTCATTTCTTGATTTATCACTTATGTAATGAATGGATAATTAGAATAGCTGCCTTTTTTCATATTAATATAGAAAGATTAGATTGTTGAACCTTGATGAGTAATCCAAAGACAACAACAAAGGCTAAAAATCAAACACGATAAAGAATTATAAATCTTTTATTGTGCATGGATCCTTTGTAGATATCATGACTATACAGATACACTTTAGATACATATCTATGATTATACATTTTCCCATAACGAACATTTTAAAGTGATATGTCTGGTAGTATGTATAGTATAACAAATTTTCATTTTGGAATGTACGGTGTATGAGGTAACTGCAAACATTAAAATTACATAAAAATGGTCTCTATTTTTGTGCATATTTTACTCATTTTTGTAGCATTTTGTTAATCTCCCCAACCAAAGGTAGTAAGCCCAGGGTGAAGCGGTGTTAAAATGGCACACGTTGCAATCGCTATCAAAAATAGGATTTTTAATTCTTTAAATGACAGAGCAGACATTTGCAGAATGTCTGAAAGACCAAATCATGTAATTATCCAAGACGTTTCGCAAGGTACCTGCATTTCATTTTTACGGTTGCAACAGCAGTTATCTTCCCAAAACCAAACAACACTAGACCCTACAGCCAGATCACCACTGAAAACTCAGGGTTAGAAATCTGTTACAGATACTTAACACACAGAGAAAAGGCAAATTTAGATTCACAGGAAGTACATGATATAACACATTTTGTATCTGCCATTTGCGTTCCATGATTCATGAGTACTCAGGATGTATTATTTTCTCTGGAGAGTATTAACTTATATTACTTCAATATTATAAAAAAATATACTTCACACATGTATGACCTGACAAAAGAAATCAAAAGAAATCATAAGTAATACATATAACTACTTTCCATTTCTCTCCTGATTACATATGTTTACTATCATCAAATAAATGTTGCAAAATAAAAGTAAATAAAACCCATTTTAGAGTCGTCTAACACTAAAAAAAGAAATCAAAACTTAAAGAGAAATTAAGAAAAATCTCCCGAGATTTTTTTCCTCTCCAATTAAGGCCTCTGAAACAACTGGTACATACTTTTTTTTCTCTCTTTTTTTTTTTTTTTTGCTGAGAAAGATCAGCTGTTTCAGCGACACATTATGTGGTACTACAACTTTTAAAACACCCAAAACACAAGTAGGGTTGCACAATCTCAAAGTGTGTTCTATAAAATTCATCACAAGACCAAGACGCAGTCAGTCGAGGTTTTTTCTTCCACTAAGGTGCAAAATCAATTACAGGGGAAAAACAAAAAAAGAAAAGAAAACATACAGGTAAGCATACATTTTCTGTGCTGAACAACAATATTTCGGAGTAAAGCAGCAGTATAACTATATGATAGTAAAAATAATTATAATTCACTGTAAGCTTGGTTTTTGTTTGTTTTCTATCTTTATAGTGAGCATTTTTTTTCCTCAAACTTACAGGTCCTCGTGTCTTCACTGTACAAAAATATACTAACATTTCTCCAGTCATTTTTGCATCCTTAAACATTCTGAACATCAAAAAGGTTGGAAAGTGCTAAATGAACGCTGTCTATCGCGTGAACAAGATTTTCATTTCAGTTCCTCCTCTCAATAAACCCACCTAAAACTCCAGCAGGGGGTTAAGTCCCCCTTCATCTGGCCCTAATGCCCCCACCAGCCGTGTACTGTGGCACTAAACTACATACAGTATACACATCTGGACACACCCCCCACTGTGCAAACACAGGCCCACCAGGTCCCTGGATCAAAAAGCACATAGGCTAAAGACACACCTACATACTATTTTTGGAACACATCTATCAAAAAACAGGTTGATACTGGACACATAAATGGAAATATAAATAATGACTATTTCTATACATATATATATATATTCTGTGTATCTATATATACTGTAATCAACAAGTACGTGAGTCGAAGCGGCCCTTCTCCCCTCTACCCATGAGCCTCTTCCAAAATGAAACCCTGCTCTTTTCTGACTTCTTTTTCACGCATGATCATGATGAAACAGAAATGTGAACTGAACAACAGATACCACAAAGTGGGGAGGGGGCGACGAAGGCAGGAGAGGCAGAGAGTTATCACAGGTGCCAAATAATTTGTTACATCTTCAATTTTTAACTGCTATTCAGCTGTCACTCACCAGCCCACCTT